TCTCGGTTTCACTCATTTCTTTATCCAGTCAGCCACCTCAATGCTGTCTTCAAACCATAATCCTTCATACCCTTGATTTCTCTTTTTCTTCCCACCCTTTTCCAATATCTAATCTAAATGACACCAACTTCGGGCACTCTTCCATTCAACTCTGAGTGCTGAACCTTTCTGCTACTCAGCAGTTTCTCGGCTACCTACTCCAATTCCCCAGGACAGTCTTCCAGAAGCACAAGGTCAAAAATTCCCCTATTTAAGCCCTCTTCAACTCTCAATATAACTTTGCTCCTTCCTGAGAAGTCATAGAGTAAGTTCCAGTCACATTTCCACTATCTACTAACATGAATTCTATTCATAAATTATTACTTGTAATTGATCCCCTTTTTCAACTTTTTGGAGGTACAGTCTCACTATGTAGCCTGGTTTTGAACTCTCAATTTTCCTTCTTCAAATCTTGAGTACTGGTATGAGTCATCATGCCCAACCTCCCTTTTCCACTTCAGTCCCTCAACACAGAAAATTAGGACAGTTAAATGCTTTTACCTCTACTCTCTTCAATTTTCAATTTAGCTTACCCAGAAGTACGAGATTAAAGCCTTCACCTCAAACTTTATTATTCATTATTTTAAAACTATTCCTGGGCCAGAAAAATGACTCAGCAGTTTAAGCTCTTGTCATGCAAGTCCGATGACCTGTATTTAATCCCCAGAATCCACATAAAAAAAGCATACACCTAAGCACTCTTATGGTGAGATCGGAAGCAAAGACAGGAGAATTTCCCAGAAGCTCCTAACCTAGCTAGCCTAGAGTACACAGCACGGCAGAAACAACTGCAATCTTGCCTCAACCAAAGTGGGGAGAACTGACTCCAAACAGCTGTCCTCTAATCTCTATAGTTCCACCTTAGAATGCAGGCCTACACACACACACACACACACACACACACACACACACACACACACACACAGTAATAATAAACTTCTTCAGTTGATATTAAAACAATCTATAAGATGACCCAAACTAACCTTTCTCATTCATCCTCTGAAATTGACTATCTATCCCAGGCAAATCAAATTCCTTCATGTTTTCTGAAGCACACCACTCTTTTCTATCTTTAATCCTTTCTTCTTACAGTTATTACCTATCCTTGTCTATCAATATGGTATCTGCCATAGTTATCAACTTTAACACACCTGGGAAGACAGAACCTCAACTGAAGAATTGCCTCCATCAGACTGGCCTTTTGAACATATCTGTGAGGCATTTCTTCATTGCTAACTGACAACAGGAGGGTCCAGTCCACTGTGGGTGGTACCATCCCTGAGCTGGTCTGTCTGGGCTATATAAGGGGGTAACTGAGCAAGCCAGGGGGAGCAAGTCAGTAAATAAGCAGCATTCCTCCAGAGTCTTTGCTTGGGTTCCTACCTTGAGTCCCTCCCCTAGCTTCCTCTGATGATAGACTGTAACCTGTAAGCCTTAAAATAAATCCATTCCTCCCAAAGCTGCTTTTGGCCATGGTGTTTATCACAGCAATAGAGATCAAACTAGAACAGTATCTAACAAAATCATTCTAAAGGGCCATTTTACAATACACATACAGTGTTTAAAAACATGCAGCTTGATAAACATGAGAGCTCCACTTGTGAGAACTGACTCTATGAAGTAAAGAGACAAAATAAAATTGGTTACAGAGATTTTTTTAAAGAATTTCTTGAGGCTGGAGAGAAGGCTCAGCTGTTAAGAGAACTCTTGCAGAGTACCTGGGTTCTAGTCCCAGAACCCACATAGCAGCTAACAATTGTAACTCCAGTTCCAGGGGAATTCAATGCCCTCTTCTGACTTCTGCAGGCATTTCATGACATGGGTGCACTTACATACACATACAAGCAATACACTCACATGCACATAAAATAAAAAATAAAATTTTTAATAAAAAAAATAATTTCTTAAAGAATGTAGTTACAACAGCAGAATATGGTGGCATATGTCTGTAACTCCAACATTTAAGAAGTTGAAACAGGAGTACTACCCCAAGTTTGAGGCCAGCCTATGCTACATATGAGTTCTAGGCCAGACTGGGCTACAGAGACTGACCTTGTCACAAAACAAAGTATACACTATCCATGCATCATACATGTGATTCATTATTTTATATGTATCTAAATACCAGTGTTAATACTGTTATCACAGGGTAATAGTATTAAGTGCAATTCACTTTCTCACTAGTATCTTTCTGTTCTATTTAAAATTGTGTAGCATGCTTAAATTTCCTATTGAGATAGTTTTTTGTTTGCTTATTCATTTGTCTTTGAGACAGGGTCTCCCTGTAGCCCGAGCTGGAATGGAACTCATTATGTAGACCAGGCTGGCCTCCAAATCACAGAGATCCATCCGCCTGCCTCTGCCTCCAAACTGCTGAGATTAAGGGTGTGTGCTACCACAAGTTGGCTCTACACTGAGTTTTAAAGAACTATCCAGGAAGAGATGAAAAGGAGAGTTTACACATTTTTTTCTTTTGCTTAGAGAAAAGTTACAGGCATTTCGATGTACAAGGAAAGAAGTTTAGTTCTGGATTAACAAAGCAAAAAACAAAATGAGCAACTGGAAATGATTAAATAAATAAATAATCTGGAGACGATATTTTACAAAGGATCCTATACTGAAAACTACATCATTTGATCTTGGCACTATAGTACGAATGATGAAGTACTGAAGAGCTTCAGGGGCTACAGGCATAGGTCAGTGGCTTCCCCAGCACAGAAAGAAAAAGCTCAACCAAGAGAAAAATATAAACAAACTTTTCAATTCACAGTAAGTTCAGGTATATAGAACAGATAGAGTTAAGAGGGAAACAAAAACAAAGTTGGGAAGGCAGGTAACCTATTAAATAGTTTTGAAAGAAATAAGACAAAAACCAGAGCAGTGGTAATTAAGAGTATAGAAAAACATTCATAGCAAAATGGGTAGAATAGGTATTTGACTAAATTTGAAGAGAAATTTAAGGGTTTTTATGGTTAAGTATTGGTCACTAATGAAAAATAAAACACAAGATATAAAGAAGTCTGAAAAAATACAATTTATCTTAAATAGTTTATATATAGCCCACATATATACAAAGACTTCCCATAACCCCAAGTCTATAAAGTACCCTAAAATCAAAGTCTTCCATAGATGAACTGAAACTTAACTGTAATCTAATATCCCTTAATTTACCTAAATGAATATACCCTTGTTAAACTGAAAGTTAACATTAAGAACTCAGTACAATGTGGTGACACACTTCTATAATCCCGGCACTTGGGAGGAGGATGCAGGAGGATCAAGAGTTCAAGGTCAGTCTCAAGCATATTATGAATGTGAGGCCAGCCTGGGCTATATGAGTTCCACAAAACCTTATCTCAAAAAAAGACAAAGATTCCTGCAAATTTGAGGCTAGCCTGGGCTACACAGTGAATTCTAGGCATCATAAGCGACACAACAAATTCTTATCATAAAAAAACAAGCAGAATACAACTTTTACTCATTTCTCATAACATTCTCACCTCTGTGTCTGTGCTTACCTCATTTTGCAAGGAATAGTCTTCCTTCTCAATCACACTTCCCTAGGGTCCTTCTCTCTGACCCAGTCTTTTAGGAAATACAAGTTCTCAATCGGTATCATTAACTTGATACTTATGTATCAATGAAACCAAAACTAACAATAATTTTACAAGATGCCTCCAATGACTATTTGTTTTAGAATCTAGGTGCCTAAAAATGTTACACAAAAACAAAGTATCTATTCAGGAGTATCAAGAATGAAGAATTCAGCTGGACATGGTGACTCATATACCTCTAACCCCAGCACCTGAAAGGCTCAGACAAAGATTATCTTGAGTTTGGCACTACCCATGCTATATGGTATGGTAAGTTTCAAGCCAGTATGGGTTACACAGTAAGATTTGACTTAAAAAATAGCTGGGCATGCTAGCATACACCTTTAATCCCAGCACTTGGGAGGCAGAGGTAGGCGGATCTCTCTGAGTTCTCTACTATATTTTAAAGAGCTGGAAAACTCAGAAAACCTCCAGCAAACTTATTGGTAAACATTAAGACTAACCAACAAAGAACTGACTATTCAATTTACTGCTGTCAAGTAAAGTAGAATAGTCAACGAAAAACGGTGTTTACATTATGAGTAATATTTAAGCAATACCAAACAAAAGATGCAATACATGGTTATGGAACCATATAAAATTAACCACAAATGACTGAAAAAGATAGCACATAAAATAAGAATCTAAAGAAAAGTTGTGTCACCCGCCCCCCAGGTATAAGATGGAGAAAACTGGGGTATTAAAAAAATATTCTGGACTGAGAATGTAGCTCGCTTGTATAGTACTTATTTAGGTCCAAGGCCCTAGGTTCAATCCCTAGTACACAGGCACAGAGAGTGAGAGAGGGCAAAAGGAAAGGAGAGAAGTAGAGAAAGGCAGGAGAAAGAGACAGAGAGCGAGCCAGACATACAGACAGAAGAGAGAGATTGAGATTCTAAACAGTTTTTGCAAATACCTTGCCTGAGCTGGATCTTTTGATCAGAGAGAAAACCTAGTGGAATTAAGTGTTCAGTGCTTTATATGACTGTTAAATTATTGGACAGTGGTAGTTACAAAATTGAACATTAATGTACAGCAAAGACAAGGCTAGTATAAGCTACTTACTGTTTAAAGATAAAATACAGACTGCTGAGATGGCTCAGCAGGTAAAGACACCTGCCACTAAGGATGATGACCTTAGTTCAATCCCTAGAACCCACATGATAGAAGAGTGGCATGCACAACCACTCACATAAACATAACACACACAAAATAAATAAATGTAATTTTTAAAAAGGTAAAATGAAAATGTGCAGAAATATTCAGAAAGTTTTTTAGTACACAATTGACTGTTGATCCTTCTACATAATGTTCAGGCATAGGAGACGATAAAAATGTGTAATAATCACGAGCAGTACTCCATCCAACCTTGAATATCCCGACCCAGTCTTTAGGATGTGGATGGATATATGGAGTTAAGGTGTAATGACACTCCAGGTGTGCATTAGGAAGATAACTTTTAGCCACATTTTGAAAGATGACATGGGCAAAGTTGGAAGTCTGCAATGGGACTTCTTGAAAGGATGTCATTGTGAATCCGCTCAGGGCCTCCCGGCCCGGGCCACACTACACAGCTAGCCAGTCCTCAGCCACCATCAGCCAGCGAACCTCTTCCGCGAGCGCCACCGCCTCCCAGCACCCCCTGTAGTTTTTAAAGAACTCAATTGAGTCTGTAATTGTTCCTGGCAAAGTTGGAAGTCTGCAATGGGACTTCTTGAAAGGATGTCATTGTGAATCTGAAAAAAATAATCCATACAAGTTAAATTGCTGTAGGTTAAGAATAAACTTGTATCCTCAAAACCTACATAACTTTTGAGATGGGACATGACTCAGTTGGTAGAGCTCTTGTTCCTTGTGTTTGAGAGGCCCTAAGTTCAATCCCCAGTACAACATACACACAGATAAACATAATTTTAAATTCTAATTTTAAATACATGCCACAAATAAGACATATACTTTTAAAAAATAGAACTATTCCTTAAAAATGTGATCAAATACAAAATATAATTGAAAAATAACAAGTTAGTATGACTCACGAAACTACAAGTGGGTTAAAAAGCCAAAACAAAGCTATTGGGAAGCTGAAGTGGGAAAAATCATCAATTCAAGACCAGCTGGGGCTATATAATGAGGCTGTGTCTCAAAACACAAAACTAAACTAAACTCAGCTGTCCTGGAAAGCTAAGCCCTCTCCTTCTATTCCAACAAAAAGCAAATGAACTAAAGATATTTTAATTCATAAACTGCCAATATAAACCTGCTGGCCTCTAGCAACAGATACTAAGAAACAGAAATAAGGATAGTTAAGTATCAGTATTTTATTACCTTTCTATATAGAACCCTTGAATATCATTTTCCTCCCTAATTGAGGCCATCCCATCTCTCTCCTCTCCCCAGGTTCTAGAGTTGAGACCCATAACTGAACCCAATGCTAACCTCCCTGTTTGCATTCTCACCCCATACTTCGATCAATACCCTGTAATGACATTTCTCAATCCTGGCTTCACACCAGAACCATTAAGGGCCTTTAAAAGAAAATAATTATGTTGCCTTTGTGTACATGCACACACATACACATACTCCCTCCACTCTCTCCAAATAATTTTAATCTCATATGTAATCATGATAAACAACCACTTATTTAGACTGATCACAGACCTAGCCTGTCTTCTGGGGTTTCTTTCAAACCTCTTCAATTACATAAACTTTATCAGTTGGTCTACTTAAAAGATCTCAGCTTACTTGTTCCCCTCTACTTATATTGATGCTATCTATTTCATTCTGGGTTTAATGATCTTTAAAGAAAAAAAGCCAGGTGTGGTGGCACACGCCTTTAGTCCCAGCACTTGGGAGGCAGAGGCAGGCAGATCTCTATGAGTTCAAGGCCAGCCTGCACACATAAACCATCAACATATTTAAACAGATTCAGAATTTAAAAAAAAAAAAAAAAAAAAAAAAAAAAAAAAAGCAAAGAAAAAAACAACATCTTGACTTCTAGTACTCATTTACCTTTTCCATATATTTACTGATTAAAAATAAAAATACAGGACTGGAAAGAAGGCTGGGTAGGTAAAGTTGCTTGTTGTGCAAGTGCAAGGCTAGCAATGTGAATACAATCCCCAGAAATCTTGTCAAAGGTGAAGGGAGAAAACCACTTCCTGAAAGATGTCCTCTGACTTCCATAGGCCAACAATGACATTCCACATACACATCACACACAATGAAATATTTTAAAACTTTGTTTTCAGACAGGGTCTCCCAGCTGCCCTTGATCTTGGAGATCTGCCTTGCCTCTGCCTCTGAGTGTTAGGACAGTACAGTATTCATGAAATATATAATGTTGAAAATCTATTAGAGATCCAGTGAATGCTCAATGTCTTGCTAGAAAGCCCTGGCTTGTCTCCAAGTGTCAACAATTTTTCTGCCTCAGCCTTTGTTGTTGCTGGGATTACAAGCCTATGCCACTGGCCCAGCTTCAAATATTTGTATTTTGCTCTACAAAAAAAAAAAAAAAAAAATTCAACCTGCTGAGTACATCACAGACTCAATACAATCATTGATTCTACAGTACACACAAGAATTAAGACTAGCTGTATAGTACTTGCTTCTGAGTCTTTAAACGAGGATCCTAATAAAAATAATCAGGGAAACCAGGACAAAATTTGTGCTAAGTAATCTAATTTACTTCACAGCTCAATGACGTTTCCACCAAGAAAGCACAGCATTTTTGCAATTACTAAGAAAATCGTGTTAAGACTGGGTGTCCTGGTGCACACCTTCGATCCCAACACTTGGGAGGCAGTAGTAGTCAGCTCTCTAAGTTCAAGGCTAGCCTGGTCCTACATACCAAGTTCCAGGCCCAGGTAGGGCTACTTAGTGAGAACCTGTCTCAAAAGAGAGGCAGAGGAGACAAGGAAGAGAGAAAGAATAGCTTGTTAAACTAGGCATGATGGTATAGGCCTATAATCCCAGCCTCTAGAGGTTGACGCAGGATTGCCTAGAGTTAGAGACTGACCTGGCCTACATTAATGAGTTTCAGACCAGCCACTGCATTGTGTTTCAAGAGTTTAAAAATGCACTTGTGATCCCAACTGCAATAGAGGCTGAACAGGAGGAAAAGTGAGTTCAAGGCCAACCTGAGCAACACAAAGAGAACCTATCTCCAAAAAAAAGTACTAGGGGAGAATCCAACCAACTGGGAGAAGACATACTAGCTGCAACTGCAAGTCTTCACCACCAATAACGGTAGTCAGTCACCCCTGAAGAGATGCACTCTCCTGGGGAAGAGTGGTGTCCAGGTCAATGCCTATCTGCATTTGGATGGATTCAACTCGAAAGGACTGACTAGCTTGGTAAAGGAAGTCTACCTGGAAGCTAAAAGGAAGGGCATACACATAATTCAATTTTGCGATTGTTTTTATGGACCTTAAAGGCCCGGTTTTATGGGTTGGGTTAAGGAGACTGGCAACACCAGGTCTGGTAGAAAGGGGACTGATGAGTCCATGACTGCAGTCCTAGGAGTCTCCAACTCCCCTCTAAATTGGACACCACTTCTTCAGAGCTTGTAAGACTGTATTAAGTTCTATTTACTCTCTCTAATTTGTTTTTCAGCCAGTTATGTAAAATATCTCAAATATTTTTATTTGGGAGGAAGGATACTTTAGTTTTTAACTCAAATTTTTTGTTTAAATTTCTACAAGTATTTATAGATGCGTTTTTGTTTTAAATGACCATGTTGACATAAAACTTCACTTAATCCCTCCCCCAACTTCAAAATTTTAAAACACCAACATTATACTTTATATATCTATGTATTCAAGACGCTCATATCAGCAAAAGAAAATTAGTGATCAAGACAGGCATGGTGGCCCACATTTACAATCCCAGCATTTGTAAAGTGAAGGTAGAAAGATCAGGAGTTCAAGGTCATCCTCATCTACAAAGCGATTTCAAGGCCAGCTTGGGCTATCTGAGACCCTTATCACATAAAGGGGGGGACTGGGTGGGTAAAGTACTTGCTGTGCAGCATCAGAACCTGAGTTCATGTCTCCAAGCACACACCTGTAACCCTATAGTTGCAGGGACAAAGACAGGCAGATCCTAGGGGCTCAATGGCCAGTCAGTCTAGCTCATCAAACTCTCTTCAATGGTAGTCTCAAATAATAGTAATAATTGTGTAGAGAGCAACTGACACCAACCTCTGACTTCCACGTGTGCACACACACCTGTGTGAACCCATATATATACATACACACCCACATGCGTAAGTCCTACATTTTCTCCCTAGAAGCACATAATATGAAATCAATGCTACTATAACTACAGAAATATCTTATGGAAAGCCATTCTAGTAATATTTTTGCTCGTAGTCATTATTTTTTACTTTAAGTTAAATATACCTAATTGTAAAAAAAGTTAATATAACTAAATTCAATCCGAAAATAATTGCATCCTGAATCACCAACTCAGGAAAAAAAAAAAAAAAAAAAAAAAAAA